CTTATCTTTGTTTATCACGTATAATATGATCCAACTGAGTAACTTGGAGTTGCGTTTGTAATACTTATCACCCGAAATGCATTCTCCTATAAGTCGGTATAGATAAATGTTTAGGGAGGTTAGTTAATCTAAAGGAAAGTCGCTTTTTTATTTCTTTCAAAAAAAAAATAAAAATCCAGATCCCTTAGGTTTACCTTTGAATGCCAAAAAATGATTGGCATTATCTTTAACAAAAATAATAATCCTTAAAAATCTGAGAAGAGAAATCAACTCAAATGCTATTAATGAAACTTTTGAAAATTCAGAGTTACGTTAAAAAAAAACATTTTTTTTTTGAAATTAAAATTTACCATTTTTACCGAAAAGATAGGTTCACAGGTTGTTTGAATATGATAAGTTTAAAAGTGTTTGAATTTGACCTATTGAAATGAAAATTTACAATTTACCGAAAAAAATTAATTTTTTTTTTCTCCTGCGTGCAAAAGAAAATAAGTAAAAACGCCTCATTTGGTTGTTGACACACTGCACACACAGTCACACAATGCATGTAGTTCATATCCAAAGACTAAACCAAAGAGTATAGAGAGGCATGCATGTCGCATGATGCTTAATTACTGCATTAACGTACACTTAAGCTAAACGATTATGCTGGTTACTGAACAGTTATCCTTCTTCTTTAGACAAAATTATAGTTACGTTAGAGCTAAAAATCAACTTTCTACTTCCCTTATATCCCATTTTACTTTAAAAAACAAAACTATTATTATTAGACGGAACGAGTGTTTAATAAATTACTCCACTTCCATGCTCAGCCTATATAAAGAACCTAAAATAACATATGAATACCTACAAATTGAAAACCTTTCCCACTCACCTTAATTGATCAAATATGGCTGTGGTTGTTTACATCAAGAAAAGGAACTCGATGACCATTATGGTGGTGGTGATGCTTCTGTTGGTGGTGCCACTATTTGAGGGATCAGTAGGACTGACGGCCAGGGACGACAAAGGGGCACTTTTAAATTGTTTAGTTGAATGTGGGCGTAAATCCACCCGATGCGTCATAGGCAAATGTATGGGCAAACGAGGTCGAGATGCAGATTCATGCGATCATGTTTGCGAGTTATCCCTCCAAAAATGTCTCAAGGCATGTCCCTGGCCTCATGTTTAGCGAAATTTTGAGATCAAGATCGTATATTCACATACATGTAACACTCTATTACTTACCTGTCTCAAAATTATTGTTTACTTTGCATTTTTAATTTTAGTATAATTTAAACTAAAAATTAAAATCTAATCTGGACAATAATTTTGGGACGAATGAAGTATAATAATAACAAGTAATGATACTCTAAATGAATCGATTCACACTTATGATATAATATGTTCGACTTAATAATACTTGATTCAGGTCTATTATTTTATTTTCACGTTATATACACCTTTGAAGTTTATAATAGAGACCAGTTTGAACTTTCAAGTTGAGCTTTTTTCATGAGAGGTCTCGAGGTCGACATTTTCAAGTGAAAATTGACTTCCCTAACGACCATTAAAAATCTGCAATAAATCTTTCCAATTTGCATGCTATTTGCGATCTTCAAATTGCAATGCCAATTTATGAATCCTTGCATTTGACACATAACAAATTGAACATCAGCAACCGAGAAAACTTGAGGAGTTGAGCTTCATCAGTTGCATGGCTGAAATTGTGTATCCAAAAAAATAGAAATAAAATAAAAATACAGTTCTTGTGATTGTAAGGATGTTGGCGGTTATTGGTTTTTGCGGTACTGACAAAGTACGATGTGAAAGATGACGCATCACACGTCTGGTTGCGTTTGTGTTTTTTCCTATCATCCGAAATGGAAACTTGATTAATTAAGAAAACAAAAAACAACGAGTTAAAGTATTTTTGTTGCCTGAATAAGCAAATTGGTGGGACAAAATTGTTTGTGTTACGTCTATTGATCACGAAATGACACCACCGGAACTTCAATGTGACCTTTCAATTTGCTAATTAAATTAATTAAATTCAAGGCTGATATATTTCATTCGGCCCGAAATAAAAATTCATAATTTTAAAAGTAATTATTTTGAAATAGAAGAAAATATAATAAAAAGGTTCAATTTATGGGATTTAGAGCAATTTGAACCAATCACTAGGTGTTGTCCTAGTGGTCACCAAGCTCTTCTTGTGTTGGGCCAGAGAAGGTGCAAGGTTTGAATCCCCTTTCTTACACTTTCCTTCCCCTAAACTGCTCTCCTTTCTGGTGATCAGATATAATTTGTGCATTAGACACACTTTGTATGCTGTTGTGGGAGTCTCACCCTACTTTGTGTGATGGCAACAGAAATAATAATATAACGTGTTATAAAAAAAATATAGCAATTTGAACCCATGCACGCTCGTTTTCTACTTATCTTATCATTTTCTTGAAGCTTATTGTTGTAAGAAGTAGACAATCTCGTCATGACCACAATCTCAGGGAGTAAACAAGAAAAAGTGCCAAGCGCGACAACATAAAGGAGAATTCTTTAACGTCAAATAGTCAAATCCGTAGAACGATACGAGAATACAATTCCATTCTTGATTATATAAAAAAAAGAAGAAAAGAAAAAGTGAATATAAACGATGTATATCAGGAATGACGTGAATTAAATAAACTCAAAAGAATTGATATTCATAAAGACGAGTTGAAATTATGTTGAACTTTCTTATAACACGAAATTTCACAATAATTCATTCTCAATTTGGTGGGATACGAAATACGGACTAATTGACAAAAAATAGTTAATCATTTGGGGGCGAGTGTTTTTGTCGTGTGGAATAACGATTGGACGTTTTGTCGAAATAGGTAAGTTTGCGACTTACGGCTTAAAGGTAAACTAGTCATATTATTAACGACGACGACCACGACGACCACCTGTGGATTTAGGGATCAGCATCAGCTGCTTGCCTGCTTCTTCACCGGGTATATAATGTGTAATGATCTGGGAAATTTCTTTGCAGCTTCTTCGTTTGTCCTTCTCTGTCGTCTGAGAAAGACCCTTGCAAATTCTGTATCAATTCAACTTAACTTCCATTCAATTTACCCACAAAGTTTTAAAACCTAGTATAAATTAACGAAAAGTACACTACTTTTAGTTGGCTAATACTATATGTTCTTTCCCTACGGACCTATATAACATATTTTCAACCTAAATTTTGAGAAATGTTATTTTTTTAAAAAAATTACAATGATTATTTTCTTATTTTGAGCGCACCTCTATTTTTGTTGCCATGATTCTTTTTTCTTTTTCTTTTTTTTTTAAAAAAAAATGTACTTGTTAACAATGACAAAATTCTTGTCTGTGTACGTAGTTAACAGAGTACTCCCTCTAGTCCTAATTGTAAGATATAATTATCGTTAATTATATCGTTAATTTTAGTTCATGCCTCATAATTATGACTAGCAAGAGAATAATAATTAATTGCCAATACTAGAATAGCAACATACGTTAGTTGAAACTTGAAATCACACCGAATATTGACTCTAGTGAATATATTAGACCCATGGAATTATTTTAGACTTACGTTCAATCGAGTCCTTTCCAATGGTCAAAATTTCTGAAGTATTAAAATGATGAAATAATGTCACTGCTAAGGTACGAGTGTAATGATATCAGCTACATTTGTATTGAGTAAATTTGTTTTTCATTTATTTCTTCCTAGATCAAAGATTACTTTTGAAATATCACCTAAGATCACTTAATGAATGTGTATTAATTTGAGTATCGTATGTATTTTCTTAAAATTAAGTTATAGTTTTTGTGGAAATGAAAAAAAGTTACTTGTACGTACAATCGATTCTACGGACATATAGAACCTCCCCACGAAGTAACCCAAACAATTATGGCCACTAATATATATATATATATTTTCCCTTTTTCTCCTTTCTTCTTTTGCTACTTTATCGTGAATTTGGGCTGATGAGGATCGATTAGAGTCCAAAAGAAAAAGATGGAAGGTAACAAATATTGACTAGATAATGTGATAAGATAACTAATGGTTATCCATGAATTTTTGTTCTTTGTTAAGTAAATTATCTTATATATTATTATATCTGTCATAAAAAATAATTTACATTAAATTATAAAATTATAATTCGATGTGATTTTTTTTTAGACAAAATGAGTATATTTTATTTTTAATGGTAAAAAGTTAGATACTTATGTGACCGAAAGGGGAAAACATAGCCGGTAATGGCAACTTATGAACGGAATAAAGAAAACAATGGCAAATTCGTTGCCAAGAATATTACTCTTTGTGTAGGATTATAATAAAGTTTTTACCTAACCCAAAAAAAATGGCCGAAAAACGTAGTTTATCTTAATGAACTTTCTTCGTTGAATAAACGGAATCATTTAACCATCTACATCAAATAATTTTTTTAACCTAAAAAATTCCAGTTTGGTTCGACAATTTTTATGAATTAATATAAATGGTATAAAAAATCATGAACACCTGTATCCAAACGGTCCCACGTACACGAAAGATAATTAACAAAGCCGATGGACCGACCAAATTATCCAGTAATTATCGGGATAAGTACTCCGTTTAATTACTACTATATGATTATACTTATACACACAAGCAAGCTAAGCTAGCCATTAGGCAGTCCCTAATATTCAAGAGTTAACAGTATCAAGTGCTCAATGTTCGATGGAAAGAAAATTCAGTCCCTGATCTTTCAATTGCCATGATTTTACGACAAGTACTTTACCTGTTTCCTTCATAAATTACTGAGAATTTATTTAAGAATTTTGCCCATTTGACCAAACTATTCCAAAAAGCTTATAAGTTCGTAACTTTATCTTTGAATTTATTTTATCCCATTAACCGATAGAAACTGAACATGTTTCTTTATATCTCGTCGTGTAAATATTGCGTACATAAGCATGCGTGCATCTCTTATATATGATTTGAATGGTAATTAATCTCAAAACTCAAGAGCACAAATCACTTTTCTAGTTCATAAACTTAAGGACTAGAATAGAAGAAATTTTAACAATGTAGACTAGAAATGTTAAGAACTTTCTCCCCTCCTGCACCCAGCTTTCTTCCCCCAAACCCCATCTTTTTTATCAGTGTTATCACCGTCCGATTCTCTCACATAAAAGCAGCCATATTTTTTTCCCCAATATTATATCCCCTGTAATAAATATATATTCCAGTACCATATATAAAATTGCTCACTCCTGACTCCACCGAGCCCTGCTATTCTAGCTTCATACTCGATTCTAACATTTACTGAGCGGATTTTTTGAATTCAATTTCACTCCTTTGGTTGTACTGTTATTAATTGGTGGGTTTTGGAAGAAATTTCGTTTGGGGTTTACTGGTTTTTTTGTTGGTCCGATTAAAGCATGAAGGTCCATCCGGTGCCGAGGAAGCGGAACATAGCCTTCCGGTATGACATCGCATCCAGTCTCTCTCAGGCGAACGCCATAGCCTGCCGGCAGAAGAAGCTCCGGAGGCTGCCTCACATATTCGCGAAAGTTCTCGAGCTTCCCTTTCACTCCGATGCTGACGTGTCGATTGAGGAGACCGCCAGTTATCTTAGGTTCGTGGTTTCTACGGACGATGTCGGTAACGACGTCAGGGCCCACACGCTGGAGATCTACCCTGGTGTTACCAAGATTTTGATCAGGGAAAACGATGATGTCGGTTCGTCGCTTGTGGATGAATTGGAGTTCGACATGTGGAGGTTTCGCCTGCCGGCGTCCACTGTGCCGGAGATGGCCACCGCAGCTTACACCGACGGGGAGCTGGTTGTCACTGTACCCAAAGGCGGCGATGGAGTGGACAACGATGAAGCCGAAGATGGTGATATCGGTGGAGGGGCAGGACACCTTGTTCTTGTACAGTAACTTTTTCACCCCCCCACAAAATTGTTTACTCCTTCACTCTCTTTTATGCTCAGATTTGAGAGTAGCTGGATGCTTTTATGTTGATTTCTAAAGGAGAGCTCACCATCACTGCTATGAGCTAATGTTTTGCTTGTTCTGTTCTTCCAGCTACTTTGAACTTCGTTTAGTTGAAAATAATTCCATCATGGTTGGGCTTAGTGCAGTTTTTCCTAAATTGCAATAAAGTTGTCAAACCAGAGGTTGTATATTTGAAGAAGAATATGTCTTCTTTATATGACCTTCATTCATCAGAAAGAGCGTTGCCTTTGAGAATGTTGACTGAAATATCATCTATTTTTCTCTAGAATTGTAGATAAGAGCACCGAAGCAAATTTAGTTGTCGCAAATTTGAAAGGAAGTTTGTTACCATGGACGCCTGCTGTTCTTGTATATCATTCTTGGAATTGTTTATTTTGACTTTCTTTGCTGAACTCGCTATAGGTATTATCTTATGTGAACTAAGAATTTTGCATAGGTTTTATCTTTCATCGTTGCCGTCTAATGGCCTCCTCTCACTGTTAAATTTTTGTTTCAGTGTAGCTCTTGACCTGACATTGCACAATTTTACCCACTGGAAGTCTTCTGCTTTAACTGATTAGTTGTTTTCTTTTTGCAATCTCCTCTATGCTATTTGAGGGAAGCTAATATGATCTATTATCCATCCAATGTGGCCACTTTACTCGTGTATAGCTATCAAGAAACTGTGATTTCATAGGGACTTAAATGCTACAACCTTAGCATAGTAGAATTCTGCCCAAGGTATTAACTAGTTTTAGGTTCCTGTTGCAAGACCTAAAAGGTGAACTAGATCCATTTTCTAGAGTTAGAATGGGTGGTTTGTCTGATAAAATTGTGAAATCTGAAGGATTAAGCTGACTATATGAAACCTAGGACAAGTTCTGGGGATACTTTACATTGGGAACGATAAAGTAGTTGATGCTAATCAGCATTAATCTCTTTGGTACTATTGCTAAGAACCTTGTATTTTTGTGCTGTTGGAAAAGCTTCTTCATCTCCGTAAATGTTGGCGTTTGTAAATGCTTTAATACAAGGCATCATGTGCTTTAAAATCTTTGACTGCATCTCCCGACACTGATGTGTCTTTATCATTCTCCATACCACTCAATTATCTGTATGAATAGCAGTGGGGAATAAATGGGGAAGGTGGTCACTGTTTCTTTCACATTTGCTTGACCTAACAGTGTCATGTGTCCTTGCAATTAAATTTCCTAGCTTCTCCCTATTTGTGCTGGTCTTGATGTTTGAGTTAGGCTTGAAAATTGACAATACCAGGAAAGCCTAAATGACTTTTGGCACCTGGAGAAGAATTATTCAGCTGACTGGCTTCCACAAGTGCATGTTCATCTGGTAGTTTTCAGTCGAACCGGTTTGAGGACACAAAGGGACAAACCTACTGATCACTTGGTGTAGCTTGTTCTTTAGATTGCACTTGTAGTTTTTCTTGGAAACTGGTAACTGGCAGCTGCAAAGCATTTTCCCTGATGGTGTTTGTCATTGTAGTAATCTACCATCTTCTTCATATCCATCTTGAATTCTTGATCTTCCACTTCGTAGCGTGTTCCCTCATTGTTTGAGGCGGTTAGAGGTGGTGGTGGTGAGGGATTATGCTTGTTTGGTTGGGTTTTTTCATTACGTTTGAATCGATGGGCTGTGGGGTCTTGAATTTGTTCTTTACTTTCCTTGAACCTCTGCCATTGCCAGTGTATGTGGTGGTTGACGATCGACCTTGGCTTCCATGGTGACAAAAAGATAGGATAGGGAGAACTCCTCTGCAGAGCTTACAATTTTATTTATTTATTTATTTGGTTAACAGAGCTTATAATTGAAGATCAAACAAAGTGAAATTTCAGTGTCCGTGATTTTGTGAACTCCACCAGTTCTGATAATTTTTTCATAAAGTGCTTAGAAATTTAGCTTCAGTTTTGCTTTCACTTTTTTTATGTAAGTGAATCATGCCTTCTAATTTGGAGCTGAATGCGAGGTGGTAAAGAACACTTGGAAAAGAAAATCATCAAACCCTTTTGATAGTGATGATGATGAAAAGAGCGAATTTTTTGTGTGTTGGATTTATGGCTTTTTGTTGCTGATTCAAGTATCTGACTCACTTTCAACTACAAGTTTTGAGTGGACCATATCATCTTTACATTTGCAACTTGGTCAAAGGCACATATTCTGTTATTGAGGGTACTCGTGGAGCTCACAAATTTAAAGTGAAATACCTGAAATTCATGATCAGAGACTGTGGAAGCTACGTGTTCTAAGTGTGATCTATCCCACACATGAGAGAACATTTATAGCCTCGAAGAAACAGAGTGAACTGAAAAGCTTGGGAGGTCATATAGATTTTTGTACTTAATTTATACATTACGTTTAATCAAAGCCAAATAACCCGTAATGGTTGCTGATGCAATCTACTAAGTAGAACTATTTGCTGCCATTTTTAAAGTGAGCAAGCTTTATTTAAAAACGTGGATGAAAAAAATAATGCTCCTTCCTTCTTGTCCTTATTATAAGTCATTTTGATTTGTCCTAAATTTCATCTAAGATATTTTTTAATTGAAATAAAAACCTTAAAAAATATTTCCTAATAATTAGGAGAACATAACGAATGTGAAAATATATTTTTAAAGTTTTTTTTTCTAATTAAAAAAATATCTTAGGTGAAATCTAAAACAAAATCAATTGTCTTATAATAAGGATCGGAGTACTTTTGTACCGAAATTATTTTTGGTACAAGCTAAATAATAAATTTGGGACGAAAGGAGTGTATCTTGATGACATATAACTACCTTCTGCAGTGTTAACGGAAACCAAATCAGACATATTAATCGAGACTAGATGAGGCTGAATTACCAGGATTGAGGAAAGTTTTGTGTGTATTTGGATAAACTACAATCATGTATTTATACAAAAGAGATAGGCTCCTAGTCTCCTACCAAATCTATATCATTAATTTCTAGATAATATCAAATCAACCTAATCTAATGAAATCTCTAAGCTAACATGCAGTGTTCATTTCTCCACCTGGGAATAACTGTTACAAGTTAAATGCTCGCTGCGTCCTATACAATAGAGTCGAAAGTAGACTATTCTTTTTCTCGACGAGAATAATAATAAGTCGGTTAAACAAAAATGTCATGAAAGTTGATTTGACAAAGGTAGTTTACAACTTTGAGGACAACTTGAAGTTAATTGAAGTATTCAATGAGGAAAAAAACACTCAGGATTTTAAGACAACCTACCAAAGAAAATCAATACATCTCGGATCAACCGCAAAAACAATGAATTGATGACTAATTGCAAGGATAAACTGCACAGATAAACATTGACTAAACTTAAAATTTATCTACTGTGAAATTGATCTGTGCTAAACACGTGGACATCTTCTGACGCGTGGACTGCAGGATTAACCCCCCACCGCCTTCCTCTGTAACCTGTACCCTGTAGACGAGGAGAAGGATATCTTGCTGGGTGGTTTGACTAATTGACTCAACCTAAGGATTCGCAATTTCACTTGCAGAATTCTGTAGATCATCCATCAAAGTCAAAGCCAGAGGAGATGAGCCAAGGAGGTCAAGATCAACCGCGCCGTCCTCAATCGGAGACGGAGCCAGTGCCGATCAAGTACGGTGACGTTTTCGATGTCCACGGTAAATTAGCCGACGAACCGGTTGCGCCGGGAGATGCAGCCACCGTGCAGGAAGCTGAAAATATAGTGGTCGGAAAAGTCCAAGAAGGCGGTCCTGGTTCAGTTATGCAATCCGCAGCCGACATAAACGAAAGGCGCGGTGTTGTTCGTCATGACCAAGCCACCAGTTTCGTCACAGACGTCGGAGTCACCATCTCCGAAGCTGAAATCGACGGCCGCCGTATCATAACCGAAGCTGTCGGCGGAGAGGTTTGTAATTTTTCATTAATGGGATTCTTCGTTTCATTTTGTTGGGTATCTGTTACGTGTTTGATAAAATGCTTTTGATTGTAACAGGTTGTGGGCCAATACACTCTGCCAAAGGAGGGAGATGTGAAGGGGACTAGAACTGTTCCTGATTTGCCAGTTGATCCGACGGCGGTTACAATCGGGGAAGCCCTGGAAGCAGCCGGACTTTCTGCCGGGGACAAAGTGCTGGATCAAGGGGACGCCGCCGCTATTCACGTTGCGGAAATGAGAGCAACTGGTCTTGACACAGTAATGCCCGGTGGGATTGCAGCTGAAGCCCAGTCCGCCGCCGCCCATAACGCCGGCCGGACTACCAGGGATGACGACAAAATCACTCTTGGTGCTGTTCTGGAGGTAAAATACTACTTCTTCAATTCTTCAAATTCGGTGATGTATATGGTTTTGGAACTTGCGATGTTGTTGATTAATGTTTTAGTTGTTTGGTAAATTGAATGGATTATGATGCGTGAGTGATTATTATGTGTTTAATTTCTGGTAATTTGCAATATGATAATAATGATGTTAGGATGCAACGAGTAAGCTTGTGGATGACAAGCCAGTGACGAGGGAGGATGCAGAAGGGGTGGTGGCAGCAGAAACTCGAAACAGGCCGGACTTGGCTACTTTTCCCGGCGGTGTTGCTGCATCGGTCACGGCGGCTGCTAAGGTCAACAGGGATTTTTGAGAAGTTTGCACTTAGGAAAACTTCTTCTTTTGATCTTCTCATGTAAATATTGTTCCCTCTGATGGAGTCGTCGTACGTTGTGAAGATGACACTTTTGCTGTGTAGGATTACCCCCTAGCTAAATAAATGGATATCTAACACTAGCCGCTCACTTCATTTACTACAGCATGTTATATTATCATGTCGACTTTTCACCATCGATTCAAAACTTGTTACGGACCAAACTTGATGCAAAACAGAAAAAGATCGTACGTGATATAGACATATCACACAGAAAACAGTAGTTATAGCCATCGTGTTTGTTGAAAGTACAACGTAGATATTGATGCTCAAAAATTAATATAATCTTTATTTATAAAAATAATTTTACATCAAATTTTAAGATTTGTACACTCTCTGTCCAAAAGAATTACAAAATCAAAACCCAATTTAAATTTCCTTTTCAAAATTTTAAATTTAATGTGGACTACATTTCTAAGACATAAAAAATAATTAATAGCTTACATTATCTTATCAATCTTTCTAAGGATTGAACTCTGTATAATGCACACTCATTGTATTGAACTTTTGTTATAGTGCACAATCATTTTTTTACTACATTATTTAGTAAAAATTGTATGTGATATGAGATTTTCGAATAAAAATTAGATGAGATGCGATTTTTTTTTAAAAAAAAATATAACCACTAATTTTTGAATGCATATTGAAAATTTTGTTGTTTCGAAATTTTCGTTCATTTATCAGTATCAATACGAAGGTCAAATAGTGTTTATTTTTGGTTAATATTGTTGGCGTCTACTTTTTCGTTTTTGTAGGAAAGTCGACGATGTAGTCGACGGAAACCAAAATCCACTCTTTTGAATTCGCTTATAAACAGTTCAATACATATACTGTCTCCGAAATATTCTTTGTCCGGTTTTTGGTATGGGCCATTTGAATAGGGCGGCCGGAGTATGTAAATATTACAGGAAGACACAGATTGACCACACCAAATCTAAGTAAGCTTTTGGAATAGAGAATTCTTGAGTTGTTGCGTCACTAACAGGGTGATATTATCTGGTAGCAGTGAATAGATTGGCGCTATTCTAACTTCTAAATCCGAGCTCCCCGTTCCGTATGGGACAACAAATTGGCCAAATATATGGTCAAGCAATTCTGATTTGTAAGATGTAAATGCTAGTAAATTGGCGGATGACATGAAATTTTATGACAAATTATACACAATCTCTGTCCCGAAAAATATCCTCATTGAGTTTTAAGTGCATATAACTGGTGATTACCATTACAAAAAAAAAAAAAAAAAAACTGGTGATTAAGTCAAGTTGATTTCATTGACTGCAAGAAGTAAAATGATACAATTTGAACGAAACTCTTTCTGTGCTGGGGGCAATGATCGAGCTGCCGAGCATGCCACATTTGCGATCGGCAGACGCGTGTAATTGAACCCATAATTCCACGTCTTTCGCACGGATTCGGCGGTGGTATTGTGCTAAAGTTCCCCAGCTGCCTGCTTCACTCCAGGATCTCATACTTTTAGAACTGAAGAATTTGATACTCAAATCCAGTTCCACATTGGTCAAAGTCAATGATGAGCCAAGGTGGTCAACCTGAAACAGAGTCAATCAAGTCCGGGGAGGTTTTAGCTGTCTCTGCTTCTCAATTAGATGAGAAACCGGCATCACCGCCTGCAGATGCAGCCGCCGGGCTGGAAGCTGACGGGACAGTGATCGGGCTCATCCAGATCCAAGAATGCAGTTCTCAAGCTGAAATCATGTTTCAAGCAACCGTTGAAGGAGAAAAGAGTCGCGGCCAAATCATCACCCAGTTAGCTGTTGATGAAGAGGTGTATAATGCCATTATTATTACTTTATTTGCAGCCAATGTATGAATTTTGTTTGGTCTTACTTATCGTCGGGTTTTTAAAATGATACTCTTGCTAGGACGTCGTGGGTCAGTGTTCAGTTTCAAAGAAAGAAGATCTGGTGATCATAACGAGGACGAGCTCCGTTCCCGATTCGCCGGTTGACCCAACGGCAGTTACAGTCGAACAAGCACTTGAAGCGGCGGGCCTGTCCGCCGGGGAGGATGACCAAGGAGCTAGTTTCATTGTAGAAATGAGAGAAAGTGGTTTCGAAAGATTAATGCCTGGTGGCTTAGCAGCTGAAATCCAATCTGTAGCAGCCCGTAAAGTCCGCCGGATTACTCGAGATGACGATAAAATCGTCCTTAAGGTCATCCTGGAGGTATACATACTGAAATCTCTTCGTCTAAACAAAATAATTCACATTTTAAATTATGAATTGTACTAAAAATAGCATGATTTTTAACTTACAACGTGGACTATTTTTTTTTGGGGAGGGGGGAAAGAAGGAGTGCTACTGGACTCTTCAGCATCAACTTAATTATTAGGGAGGTAGATCTGATAACGTATTAATCAATTTTGCTGAATTTGGGATTGACTTTTTTAATCAATGCATGGTAGGCTGCGGCTGATAAGCTTATGGACGAGGAGTATGCTGAAGGATTCATAGCTGAGATATTGAAGAACACACCTTCATTGGCTTCTTAATAGTTGGAGTGCGGATCGATGCTCCGAAAATTAAAATGAAAGTCCATATGTATAATATGTGTATATATCAATAAAGGACAAGCTTATTCCCAAGAGAACTGAAAACTTTTCCTTGTAACAAAAATAATCTTTGTAAATTCATTTGAGAAATCAAGAGTTTGTTTGAAGGTTTTGCATGGGTGATGTTCAATTCTCTATAATGTATTACTATGATGAAAAACAATCGCAACTTCTCAAGTATCTTCAAGTCAAAGAGAATAAAGTGAGATGGATCATAGGTGCAAACTATTTGGAGCCGAATTAACTGAAGAAAAGTCTCTATTGTATTAACAGTTTTACACAAGCAATAATTGAGAACTAGACTCAAATGATTGAATTCTTGTGACCCTGAATAGGGGAAGTTCCAGAGCCCAGATAAAGTCAATTGTTGGTGTTTATACAAAGCGGTGATGACAGTAAAGAGAGAAATGCCGACACCACCACCCCCTCCCCCAATCTGGAAGGCCAGTCACTAGAAAGTTAGCGTCATTAGTATAACGTAACATGCCAAATGCCACCACCTGTATCATCAGGTTTGAAGTGTTCCCTTCCAAACCATAACACCTGTAACTCCAAATTTTCGTCCTGTTTCTTCAAGCATCAGCCAATCCTCTGTTTATGAACCATATAAACCGGAAAGCTAATGGGAAGGTTTGATCGGAATAATCTTCAAAAATTTAATCATAGTAATTTCATCGTAGTTCTGGAGTATTAAATTCCTAATAACGAGTTTGATTCAGGAAATTAAAAAGATGAGTCAAGAACAGCCACAAGGGGACCAGAACAGGGGAATTATGTATGGAGATGTGTTCAACGTCTCAGGTGAAATAGCCTCCAAGAATATTGCACCAAGAGATGCAGCAGCGATGCAATCTGCCGAAAACATAGTGCTGGGACAGACTCAAAAAGGAGGTCCCGCTTCGGTCATGCAATCCGCCGCCGATTTCAACGAGAATATCGGCGTTGTCGGACACGATGAAGCGACTGATATCACCAGAGATCAGGGCATCACCATCGCCGAAAGGGTTGTCGGCGATCGCCGTGTGATCGCGGAAGCCGTCGGCGGCGAGGTCGTAGGTGGGTATGCGACTACGAAGGGTGCTGGTGGAGGCGGCGGTCAAGTTGAAGGCCAGGGTAGATCGGGTGGTGGTGAAATCACCATCGGAGAAGCACTTGAGGCTACGGCGGTTGCAGCCGGTAACAGACCGGTGGACGCTAGTGACGCGGCGGCTATACAGGCGGCTGAAGTCAGAGCTACTGGATTGGGTCAAATAATGCCTGGTGGAATTGGAGCGGAAGCTCAAGCTGCTGCGAATGCGAATCCATTGATTGAAAGATACCAAGACAAAACCAAGCTTGGAGACATTTTGCGGGTATATTTCAAATTCCCCTGTTTCGTTATAACTCGATAAGAAATGAGCAATTTTATGGTTCAAGAAATTATCTTGTAAGATGTATACTCCCTTGTCCTAATTATTGGGCACAAATTAATACTCCCTCTGTTGCAAAATTATTAATCAGTTTGATTTTTTACTTTTAATTTAATTTGTATTAAAAATGAAAATTCAAAATGAATAATAATCTCGAAACGTAAGTAATACTAAAGCTAGTTCAAATTTGTGCTTATAATTAGGACCGGAGGAAGTAGCTTATTACAGAGAACTAGGAGTATTACTGCTGATAATGTTTGATCGAATTAGGATGCGACTCATAGGCTTCCTGGTGATAAGCCGGTGACAGGAGAGGATGCCGAAAGAGTGGTGGATGCCGAAACCGGGAATGATCCTCGCGGACGCGGCGCTACTCACCCTGGCGGCGTGGCTTCTGCTTTATCTACTGCGGCGGCACTTAACGAGCAGCCTAACAGGCCATGAAAATTGAAAATTCCGGGAGTGATTTTCTTGCAGAAATACTAGGGAATAAGTAAAGTAAAAATTGAGTGCGGTTTGTTTTACTTAGGTCATGAATCATCCATTTGTAATAAAATCGTGGAATGTGGCATGTTTGGGGTAAAGAAATGAATCACAATAATGTATTGGTAGTATGTTTGTTCTCCATTGAGTTGATTTGAAAAATTTTCACGAAGACATTACATTCTTTATAAGTTACGGATTATAACTAACATGTATAATTCTAAATTATTGCATGAAAATCATAGAAAATATAAAAAAAGAATGGAAAATTTAAAAGATGAATTAGGTGAAAGAATGAATGTTTATGATCTTCTTGTATTAATCATTATCCATAAAATAATATTGAAATAAAATAAGAAAGACATCAATTAGGTGAAAGAAAAGGAGTAATTAGGAAGCTGCGGAAACCGATAACAGCGATCCTCTCGCCCTATAAATACACAATTTCTCTTTGACTAATTAACTCGCATACTACTTGGCAAATGGCAATCGAGGGACTTTATGGGGGTGAAGGGATAACGATGTTGGGGAACAAATGAATTCATTTCCCTGTACTCGTAGTTATGCTCTGCTGTGGTGCTGGTGAAGTCTATTAATTTTTAGTTACTCACGTACTTATGAAGTATAAAAGGCCTATAATATATACCGAAAAGTAAATTTTGTAGCAGATTATATAATTTTGTTGGCAGCCCAAAGTTTTAAAGATTTACAATAATTCAAAGTTACGTCTCTGCGGATTAAATTATGGTTGGAACACGATGTAATAGGGGTTTTATATCTAAAAATGTAATCGTATAGGTGTCAGCGTCCTTCTTTGTTAAAAAAAAAGGCCTCTAATATATCTACTATAATACATTTGTTAGCTATAATGGCGGTTTCATTGTAAAGTGTCATATTGAAAGTAACATCATTTGATTTGATTTTTTTTTTCTTAATGCCACAGGAGCGGTTGGAGCAACTCCCAGTCGTTTCGCATTCAATGCCACGCACATTGTGGTCTGCAAATCTGACCGCTTTTGAGTTATTGAAGTTAGTCTATTAGTGGCCATAAACTTTTTGCAAAACTGCACTCTGTAATAGATCTCCGGTTCCGAATCAGTTTACGATTCATGCTCTATGGCTAGATAATTTTACTACTGTACTTCCCCTGCCAATCGAGTTACAGGCTTATATTCCATGGGTAAACCATTTGTCTGTCTTCCATTTTCTTTTTTTCTTTTCTTTTTTTCTTTTGGAACAATATTCATCATCAAATAACTAATTAGTAAATGTTGCAGAAAGCAGCTGACACGGCCAAGGTAGACACTGTTTGGCCCGACTTAAAGACATGGTCGGACTTCCTATAAAGCCAATGAAATAATGGCTTTAGGCCCGATTATAAGAAAGACCTCTAAATTTTCAAAAATTAATATTATTATACTAAGTTAAAAAATTAAAATAAATAAAATAGGCTACATTTTAAAACAAAAAGGCTACAAAATTTCAGTCCAAATTTAAACTCCACAAATTTTGAGTTCTTTTTTTTTTCAAATATTCTTAATATTGTTAGTTATATCCAATAAATCAAAATTATTATTTTAAAAAATAATATAGAACTTCTCAATGTTTATAAATCTCAATCACTCACAATCTATCCAACCACCAAAACAAATGCTCAATATTTACAAATCTATCAGGGTAAAGGAGGTTTATAAATTTTGTATCTTTCAATAAATTATTCCAAAAATATCAAAAAAGTTTACTTGCTATATTTCTTCATAGCTATAAGTTTCAGATGTTATTATATGACATCACAAAGTTAAATAGTATTTTTATCACTTTTCTGTTAGATTTCATGAAAAAATTAATGGCCAACTCTTTGCACTTAAGATGCACGTGGATTGATCAAACCGTATTATATGTGTGTCTATGTAAAATTCAATTTTTTGTAAATTCACAAGTACATCATGTAATATGGAAGACTCGAGTCAAATTTTTATGATGTACAAGTAATACACTTCGATAAACTCTGGTGCATTTTACGTGCAAAAAAATTGACCGTTAATTTTTTCAGGAAACTTTAAAAGAATAGTGAATAAAAACACTATTTAAGTTTACGGTACCATATGCTAACATCTAAAAGTTTTAGTTTTGAATGAATATATCAAGAATTTTTTTTTGGTACTATTATAATAATTTCTTATATATTTTTAGTTTTTCTATATTTAAAAAACCTCAATTTTGTATTAGGACTCTGAAAAAGTTTAGCCTTGCTAAAAGATATCTGCGAGGGATGCAATTTCTAACCAATGCTTCTGGTAACACGAATGGGATGCTCATGGAAAATGTTGTACCAACCAATACACGCAAGTACTATATGACTTATTGTGTAATTGAGCAACATATTTGACATCCTTGCAAGTGCTATTATAATACCGACAACTGCTGGTTATACATTCAATCAACTAAATACAACGATCTTTCACGTGTTGGGAATATGACTGTTCTTTTACAAAAAACCGACCCAAACTGAACCGATCTGAACCGAACTGCTAGTTTAGATCGGTTCGAAAACGAGACAAGTTTCTATCGGATCACGATCGGTTCGGTTCAGATCGGGTTAAATTTCATATCAGAACCGAATTAAACCGAAACGAACCATTTTGTCCTCGATGATGCCATAAAAAATTATGATGACATCATCACGCCAGTGCTGGTCAACGGTCATCAGAAAAATTGATTTTCCCGGTGACTTCTCCAGAATTCTTTCCTAAAAAATTAAAGCTTTGTTTGTTTGATTTTTTTGATGGTTTTTTTATTTTATTTTATTAATAACTGTCCTATCCCAACATATTTTTTTACATTTTCAACACACCTTTTTACATTTCTAATACAAAAAACACCTAAAAACACACACTAAGAAAACGAAACAAACATACCAATTTTCCGGCGACTTCGTCAGAATTGTGCCGGAAGTTGTTGCCGGTCGTAGTCGAAGGCAGAGGTCAAAGGTGGTTGGCGGCAGTCAACAAAGAAACTATTAAAATTATTATTATTATTATTTTACTTTTGGTTGATTCTATTCAATTTGGATATTCACTTGACCCAAACCGTTTCGAACCATTCCACTTTTTAAAATTATTGATCCACTTCGTATGGTTGCCCCTGATATCCTAGAGTTTGATCACTTTGTTATGGAAATTGTTGGACCTTGCAACGGTGTTGTTTGTCTCACAGAAAGAACGGGCTTCTTGTATGTATCTATCGATGACCGTAAGATTCGTGGACAAGCCATCTATTTATGTAATCCTGCTACTCGTGAATACCGAGGACTCCCAGATAGCCCCTTTGATTTTATACCTGGATTAAGTTGCGCTAGACAGGCTTTGGGCTTCGGATTTGATCCTTGTGCCAAGGATTATAAGGTAGCCTCAGTATTGTATCTTCCGGATGAGATTGATGTGGAACGTGGTACTGGCTTGTGCAAGATTGAGGTCTACCATCACAGCTCTAATTCCTGGAGAGAAGTAGATATCTTGTCTGATGAAATCTCGTCCCATGGTTTGGTCAAATGCAAGGATATCCGAGTCACTCATCCCCATTTCCTGTTGAATGGTTCTTTCCATTGGGCCGCCGGTTGTCGTATTAATAACTATTTTATTCTCTGTTTTGATATGAACACAGAGGCGGTGCACGCCATACCATTTCCTCCGGCTTCTAGCTCTCCTGATTCGATACTGCCGCGTCTTGTAGTGTTGGAGGATTCGCTAGCATTGGTTCATGTAGAATATGCAGGCTCCGAAGTCGTGTATGAGCATATCTAATTCAATCGACATATGGGTGATGATGGAATACGGAGTGAAGGAGTCGTGGACTGTTGGACCAGTAATAGGAGAGTTTTATCCCTTAAGCTCCTGGAACAACGATAATTTACTTGGCCAGATGGGCGGCGGAGAGCTGGCTTCATTGGATCTCACGGGGGATAACCACCAACCTAAGAAACATAACATTTATGGATATGTATTCTCTTTTGGAGCTTATGCTGTGGTAGAAGCTGTAGTTATGAAGAAGGAAAGTTTGGTTTCTTTGGGGTGAGGAACTTGAGTGGAAAAGTACTGAAATGGTGATGTCGGGAGAGTATCCTCTTTTGAATATAAGGGATGATTATGTTCAAGAGTATCCTCAGTCCACCACAATTTCCTTATTCTAGAGTAATTTTGAATGTAAAAAATGGCCAGACACATCTCCTAAGTGGCTAACATTTCAGCCAGAAGCAAAGAAACTATGGACTCTGCATATTCAAATTCTGGATACGAACTAATTAGCACAGCAAACTCCTTTTAACTTGCATTTACATTATTGACAACAAGAACGGCTTCCTTTCTCATGATAGTGGCACAATAATACGTGACCATATAGATCGCAGGAACTTTGGTAATTGCCCATATATCTATCTATATATACATAATCTTCTCTTTTTCTGTTTCCTTATTTCCTTTTAATAAAGTATATAATCCTCTTCACTATCCTCTGTTCTTCCCCTTCGCGTCCTCCCAAAATTCTTCTCCACACTTCTTCCGTCGATATTTAAGGGCCGGATTCAAGTAAGTATGCTCCTGTTTTGTACTCAATTTATCGTAGGAACTTTTCAATTCATTTGTTGGTCGGAATTACTGATGCCCTAAAGTTCTGTTTTTTGTTTGTGTTATTCTCCGATGGCTAAAATTGTGTGTTTTTTTCTTTAATCTCATTCGATGGGGTTCGGAAGTTTCAGTAGTGTAATTTTTGTGAATTTCGCTTCCATATCTTGCTATTTTTGCTGCCTTATTGGATTCAGTGAGCTGCTATTTGATGATAGTTGGGATGTAAAAGAAGAAAATAAGTATTTGAAGAATAATAAAAAAAAATAAATCAGAGATGGATTTAAATGGTTATATTACTGACTGAATACTAAGACTGAGATAGAAGCCATATTTATAGGCCTTCTACACATGATAATTAACATATTTTCACTACTAGATATAAAAAGACTAAATTTATCAATTACTCAACATTTATCATTCCAACCCTTAGCTATATCCCTAACTCATAAGGTAAACAATGATTCCTTTTCTTAATGATCTCCTCTTCATGATGATTATCTTTAACATCCTTCCTCAAAATGAGTCTTGTTTTTTGGGTGATTCTGACCACGTGTTGGACTGATGTTTCTTATATATGAATGGTGAAAATGTAAGTGATGTAATTCTTGTTTTTGAGTGGCGGGCTCAAATTTTTGATTGTTAGAAATTGTTGAGAAACGAGATGTATCGATTCTCACTGTTGTGTTAGTAGTGATCATGGTGGTGATAGGGAGTAATTTTGACGAGAATTTAATCTTGATTGGTTGGTTTGGGATATCGAAGGACATGGAACATAGATGCGAATAGAAGACTAATGGTTTATTTCTTGAAAGAAAAAATAAGCGGTAGACTAATGGTTTATTTCTTGAAAGAAAAAATAAGCAGAAGCATGGAATAGAAGACTAATGGTTTATTTCTTGAAAGAAAAAATAAGCGGTAGACTAATGGTTTATTTCTTGAAAGAAAAAATAAGCGGAAGCATGGCACAGAAACAGGGCGGAACCTGCTCTGAAACGAAGAAGAAAATAAGTATTTGAAAAATAATAAAAAAAATAAATCAGAGATGGATTTAAATGGCTACATTGTGACTGACTGAATACTAAGACTGAAATAGAAGCCATATTTATAGGTGATAGGTCTTGAAGTTTCATATTATTTATAGGTATTTGTATAGTATTTTGGATTAGATTGTGCACTTATATTATGTATTTTGATGTTTTTGGTTCCTAGGAGTCCTTAGAGATGAGATAGAGCAAAATGTTTCATAAACACACATTTTTGGAGCATTTTGACAAGGAAGCACAAGAAGGAGCAATGACATCACATTCTCGTGTGGGCACACGAATCTCAGTCCAAAATTGAGCTATAGAGAAGAAATTCCAGCATTGAAGCTGCATTCCCGTTTGGCCAAACCGAAACAGGGACTAAAATGAAAAATTGAAAAAGTTTTGAGGTCAAAATGTAATTTTGCCAAATTTGAGGGACCAATATGCAAATCTCGGAAAAGTTAATTTGCTGCTGCGGATTTCAGAGAAGGCTGCTGCGGCTGACCTATATTCTGTATATAAATAGACTTTTCTTTTCATTTTTGAAAGAGTAGTAGGTAGTAGAATAAAAATAGACGTAGTTTTCCACTTTTAAGGGCTTTAAAAGGCACTTTCTTCATTTTTGGAGTCTTCCGAGTTCATAGACATCAATCGGTAATATTGTTCAATGAATTTTTCTTGTGATTCAGTTTTCATGATGAGTAGCTAAATTCATTCATCTGGTTGAAGGGTATTGAAGTCTTGGTTTAAATAGTTGTGAGATTTAAATGTTGTTTCTCTCTGAATTTCTTGTGAGTAATTGCTTGTTCTATGGCATGATTGATATGATTATTGTGGATTCATGAATAGCTGGTAGCATTCGGTGCTTCTTAATAATCTAAAACCAATAAAACAACAAGGTTTGTTGTTTAAATAGGGTATAATATAATTTAATTACTTGGTAAGTAATTATTTATGTTATAAGAACAAGTAATCCGGTTTAATATAAAACAAGGTTTGTTTTATAGGAATTGGGATTGGGTCTATGTGTTTAATGTAGTAGTTTTCTAAATCTTTGGAGGTTCCAAGATTAGTTTTCGACTAGTATATGATTAATGAAGGTTTCTTAATCATTGAACTAAATGAAAGATTGAATTGTTTGGAGGTTCCAACAATGAAAACTAATCTACTCATAAGTTAATGATAATATCATTGCATCTATGATCAACTGTTCAAATCAAGGTGGATATACAAACCCTTCAGCTAGATATTTTCTCATTATTTGTTTGAATCATTTTAGCAATTGTTTGCAATTTGTATTGGTTGCAATTTATTTCAACAACTCAAAACCCCCCTTTTGGTTACTTGATTTAAAAGAGAGAAATTCACCATTCCCTGAGGAGACAACCTTACTTTCCTGTACTACATTAGTTTGGAAATAGGTTAAATTGTTTGTTGGCTTGACCCTACCAATAGGCCTTCTATACATGATAATTAACATATTTTCACTACTAGATAATAATAAAAAGATTAAAGTTATCAACTACTCAACATTTATCAATCCAACCCTTAGCTATATCCGTAACTCATAAGGTAAACAAAGATTCCTCTTCTTGATGATCTCCTCTTCATGATGATTATCTTTAACAGTAAATATGCAAATAGAGATACTCATATTTTTGAAAAATATTTCGATAATCTCATCATTGAAAAAATGTTCAGAAAGCCGAATCAGATTCCCTGTTCTAGTTTATGGATTTATCTTAATTGTCTTCCAGCGCCGGTGTAAAGTTTAGCGCCATCATCATACGGGATGGATATCATAATTGAAATTCTACTCAGGCTTCCTGTCAAATCATTTGTTGATTTCCCAGTGTGTTTGCAAAGATTGGCATGCTTTGATCCGAAGCCCCTATTTCATTAATATGCATCTCAACCATCCATCTCACAAAAATAGAATCGATTATCTCTTGCTCAAGAAATTGCGAACCCAACAATAGAACTGCCTTTTCATTGTATTCTCGAGACGACAAAAGTGACTCCCTCCGTATGATTGCCCCTCATATTCTGGCTTTCGATCATCGTATGATGGACATGGTTGGACCTTGCAACGGTATTGTTTGTCTCGCTGAAAGTACTGACTACTTGTGTCTTCCTCGGCGTAAGGGCAGTGTGCAACCCATCTATTTGTGTAATCCTGCTACTCGTGAATCCAAAAGACTCCAGAGAGCCTCTTTAGGTTTCCTCCCGGATTCTTCTGCGGCAGGCAGGGTTTGGGATTCGGATTTGATACTCTTACCAGGGACTATAAGGTAGTCTCAGTTTTGTATCTGCAGGATGAGATGGATGAGGAAAATGGTACCGGCATGTGCAAGATTTTGAGGTCTACCATCTCAGCTCTAATTCCTGGAGAGAAATAGATATCTTGCCTGATGAAATCTCGCCGCAAAGTTCTGTCAGTTCTAATAATTTACAAGTTGGTACTCCCGGTATACTGTTTAATGGGTCTTTCCATTGGTCCGCACGTGTGGGTATTGATTCTAAAATGATTCTCTGTTTTGATATGTGCGATGACACCCTGCTGGTGATGCCGATTCCTTGTAAATCCCACGACATGGAATCGCGAGCCCCAAGTCTTGTAGTGTTGGAGGATTCTCTTGCATTGATTTTTATAGAGTATGCAGGCTCTGAAGATGTATATAAGTATATCTTTTCGATGGACATATGGGTGATGATGAAATATGGAGTGACGGAGTCATGGACGAAAAGATTTACCATTGGACCTGTTAGAGTTTTCTTTTTCCCTTAACCTGCTGGAACAATGATAAGTTAATTTTCCAATTGCGGGATGGAGAGCTGGCTTCGTTGAATTTTGCCGCCGATAATCATCAGCTTAAGAAACATAACATTCGTGGATATCTTTTTGATAGCAGTGCTCATGATGTGGTAGAAGCAACGATCATTCAAAAGGAAAGTTTGGTTTCTCTGGGGTGAAAAATCGTGTGCAAAAGTTAAATGGTAATGTCAGCAAGTATACTGTATTCAAGAGAGCGAACAAAGTAGTGCGTACTTCAATCATGTCCCGTCCAGCTATAGAAGCAGAGTCGGAGTGAACCAAGTATATTCGGTTTTGCTGTGGATGTAATATGTTCGCACTTCGCATAATAATAATAATTA